GTGGCCCCAGATTGGAGCTCTGTGGAACTCCAGATGTTGCTGTGAGGGGTGAAGATGAAAATCCGTTGTAAAAGACATAATTAAAACGATGATTTAGGTAAGATGAAAATAATCTCAACAGCGACTGATCAAACCCTAAGCTTTCCAACTTCCTTACAAGAATATTATGATTTTTAATTATTACAAAATACATTATAGGCAGGTTGTACAAAAAATATTCTAAACATATTTTAACTAACAAGAGTTTTATTTGTAACTAGTTATATTCAAAAACAAATGTCATTTTTAAAACTATGTTTAACAATAACCGATGAGTATACAACAAGGTTCACAGTTTAAACTAAGTCTACATTTGAACTGCCTATTGTACAACCCGCCATATGTACAACCCGCCATATGTACAATTAAAAATTAATTGTATTTCTTTAAAATGCACTGATTCTGTTGATCAAAACCATTCGATAAAAAAATTAAAAAGTATTTGTATAAAGGTGGTTTTTATATATATGCTATAAAGCATGCATTGGGGTAGCATGTAGATTATCTAAGTATCAGATCAGAGAGATTAAAATTAAATAACATATGTAGTGGGATTCTCATCTTTCAGTACGTCTCCTATCGAGACTCCTATCTTTGTTCGACAGACAGCGATTTTAATGTAATGTCTCTCTCTATTCTGTATGTAATGTGTCGAGTTCGCACAAAAGAATCGCTGTCTTGATCAGAAGAAATTAACCACATCAAAGGAAGAAAATTAGGTCACCTGTTATTTTTAATTTATATTAATGATTGTTGAGTCGCAATAATCAATATGACATTTACCTGTTAGCCTATGATGTCCTTATCTATGTTTCTTGTAAGTTGTAAGGATTCAGAAAACTTAGTAAGAGTTAATTAATTGTCAATGAAACTCTGCAAAATGTTTATAAATGATGTTGAAATCATTTGTTAAAAATCAACACAAATACCTAAAACAAAATATAAGCTGATAAGTAATAACTATATGCAGTTTGTGGACAAACAATATAGGAAATTGAAAGAAAATCTATACAGTTAGTAGAAAAATTCAAATATTTAAGGGTAATTATTCGGAAACAGATGAAATTCACAGACCATATGCAAATACTGTTATCAAAACAATTGCAGTTAAATTACATTTCCTATTTAGAATGTTATTAAAATAATTATATTATTACATTATTTTTTACTAAATTTGAATATTGTGATATTGGCAAACTAGCCAAATAAAGAAAATAAAAATAAAATAAAAACCGAAAACATACCTGGATCTACAATAATATAATATATAAATAATATAAGTACATTGCATCTTTTAAATTATTAAAGTCCATTAAATTGAAATGACACGTCAAACCATAAACGTCAAACTTTCAAAACAAACATGCTTGTGTTGTGTTCCAAACAGAAAATAGACTAATTTATTTACTTGCAACCTTTCCCCGCACACCACCTCGCCCCTCACCCAGAAACATGGTCAAATTGGGCTAAGCCATTTTACATTCGTCTGCATAGGGAGCGATGTTGCAATTTTTCAAATTTAGTGTCTATTCTGTCTGATCAGATGGCAGCATTTTATGGGCCCTACATTTTTAAATCTTATCACATGAATCCTGAAATAATTAGGCAAAAATAAAAGAATGTATTTTGCGTTTTAACTTTTAAATACTATAAATAAAAATGATGGAAAGTCCATAACTTTTAAATATTTGTTAAATATCACTTATTAAAATATTATGCATTCAATGTAAAACAAACTATGGACTTTCCATCATTCTTTACAGTTTTTTGAACCCATTTATGAAAACAGTTTTTGAAAATATTATCGTTCAGAGCTGTATTTCTTGTGATAAAAAAGTCGCCGTCACTTGTCATTGAACTTGGCCTTAACATAATAAATCAATCACAAACTGACTCTGGCTAATTCAGTATATACCACCAAACCCATTAAACGAAAAAACATATAGCCTCCCTAGAGCCGCCCTTGATAAAGTGGAAATTAGCATTAAAAACAAAAAATTGTGTAATCGGCATCGACTGCTATGGTTATTAGCCTCGTAGTCTGTGTAGGCTTTAATAATGTTTCCCAGTGCCACTGTAGGAACAACACCGTTAAATCAGCAAGTAGTTACTTTCAACTTTACTCAGAGGTGAATAGACTGGCCCTAAATTAAATAAAAATCCTGTCAGCGGCAGGATTCGAACCTGAGTCTCTTCGATCTCAAAGTCGTGACTCTAACCACTGAGCCAACTCACCCCCCCCTAGAATGTAAGTATTAAAATACAAAAGGAAAGTTTTATTTAGTTTTACGAGTCACTTTTGTTTGTATTATCTGGTTAGTGTCTAAAGTTTTTAAAATATGTGAATTTATTGGTTATGGTTAAAAATGTAGCTTTTCTTGTGCAATTCAATTACCCGTTTTAACGTGGAAATTATATAAAAATCGAAGGAATTTACATTCAGAATGAACATGTAGTTTATTTTTATGTAGATTAGATTAGGAGTTGGACGTTATCAAAATTTGGATAGTGTGGATAACAAGTTGGTGGTTCGAGCCCCGAAACTTTTAGTTTTTTTTGTTTTTTTTTCCTAAAAAAAAAAGGAAACATATTGTTTTATTATTTCACAGTCTTGGTAATTTAAAATGTTTAGTTTTTAAAAAGTATATACTTAATCAATGCATAGTGGCGCATAACGAGGTTCATTCATTTTTAGGTTGGCCGGCAATTAAACCCCGGAAAAAGGGTCTGCCTTTTTGAAATTAATTTTTTTTATATTTAATTAAGACGCTATTAAAATTTCAGCGTGAATCAAACACTTCAAATCATATTTAAAAAAAATCAACTTTGGGGTTGATTTATTAATTATAAACCCTCTCAAGTGTCTGCCTAAATTACTAGTATTTTTAGAATTACCTAAACTTTCAATTGTTGTTTGTTGGTCTCTGAATCAAACACTTTTTTTGGGTCATATTTTACGACCCCTTTCTACTATGCGCAGTACCTGGTGTCCCGGGGTGGGTCTAGCCAACACAGGTATATCTGCTTTTCCCAAATGATTTCAAATTACAAAATTTCAAAGTGCATCAAACACTTAATGGAATGTGTGTTACTAGCTCTAGGACTATGTATGCATATTCTAGATATGTGTGTGTCTGTGAACTCATAAACCGATACACAGAAAAACACCAAATTTTAAACTTAAGCTTTTTTCCAGCGTCCAATGAACAGATTAGATTTTGAGCAGAGTCGGAACAATCTGGGGGGGGTACTTTATAGGTGGTCATTTTTATATTTTATGGAATATATCTGTTATTTACGTTTGGGGAAGAAAATTCTTTAAATAAAAGTTACTTCTTATATTATTATCTATAATTTTTGTTCTATACAAAATTTTCCTAAAATGGTCCTTATTCGAGAAATTTGACAAAATGTAAAAAAACATTTTTTTATAAAAATTGTTCAAATAAAATTTGTTTGTAATATAATTCTCCATAATTTTTATCTTATACATAATTTCTCTAAAATGGACCGTATTCGAGAAATTTAAGAAAATTGTAAATTTTGAAATTTGAAGAAAACTCAAAAACGGATAAAGAAAAAAACATTAAATTTTAAACTTAAGTTTTATTTCGGCCTGACGTGAAATGATTAGATTTTGGACAAAGTCGGAACATCTGGGGGGGGAGTACTTTATAGGAGGCTGTTTTTATATTTTATGGAATATATCTGTTATTTATGTATGGAGAAAAAAAATGTTCAAATAAAAGTTACTTCTAATATTATTATCTATAATTTCTGCTTTATGTCAAAATTTCCTATTCGAGAAATTTGACAAAATGTACAAAATTCTGATTTTTATGAAAATTGTTGAACTAAAAGTTGTTTGCGATATCGATCTCTATAATTTTTGTTCATACATGATTTTTCTTAAATGGGCCGTAATGAAAAAATTGTAGGAAATTTAAATTTTTCAGTATTTTCGTTTTCAATGAATATCTATAGAAAAATGTTTCGAGGTAGGTGTATGTGGACAATGTATATATTTAGTTTATCCTCTAAACATTTATAGAGATGCTGCAATAGGTTGTACAAAATAACCGAAAAAAGCCTATAATAACTAGATAGGAAAGTCATGTGTTGGACACATCAGATTTTTTTATCTTGCACAGTAGTAAACCTATGTGTTTGTTGTGCAATGAAACAATTTCTGTTGTAAAAGAATACAATATGAAGAGGCATTACTCCAACAAGCATTTTTCTCAATATAATCATCGAAGTCATTTTTAGATGAACAGTTTGTTAAAGAGTGTCTAGTAGACGTTGCAGAACTTTTGTGTGCAGAAAAGAAGAATAAGTTTGAAAAACTGAGCTTATCGCGACGTACTGTTGTTCGACGTATAGATATGATGGCTAGTGATATCAAAAAGAAACATTTACTGATACATTATCTGGTTTTCAAGCATTTTAGATAGCTTTGGATGAGAGTACATATTTATCTGACACGGCTTAGTTAGCTATTTTTATAGGAGGTATTGATGAAGAAGTGACTGGAAAATATATATTTGTCTAGGTGCAAAGTACTTTTGAGCAATTTGGTTCGCAGTGGTGTAAATTAGTTGGAGTATGCACGAATAATTCGCCTTCAATGGTCGGTTCACGAAAAGGTTTTATAGGAATTCTGAAGGAAAAAGCAACCGCTATGAATGTGCAAGAATGTTAATAATTCTGCATTGCATTATTCATTAACAAAACTTGTGATATAAGTCCATTCGATTGAAGAATGTTGTGGATGTGGTAATAAATATCATTAATTTAATTAGATCCCGCGGACTTGACCATCGCCAGTTTAAAGCATTTTTGGATGAACTTTCTTCAGAACACAATGATGTGACATATTATTGCGAAGTGAAGTGGCTAAGCAAAGGCAAAATACTAAAAAGATTTTATGACCTTAAAAAAAAATTGCTGATTTTATGGGAATGAAAGAGAAAACATTGCCACAAATTTCTAATACAACTTGGCTTTGTGACTTGGCATTCCTGATAGACATCACAGGACACTTAAACGACCTGAACTTAAAGCTTCAAAAACAAGGACAATTGGTAAATCAGCTGTACATTCATTTTATAGCTTTTCAAAACAAAATTTGCTTGTTGGAAACACAAATGAGAAGTAAAAACTGTTTTCATTTTTCAACATTATCCATTCACGAAAACATTGAATGCGGTCATTATGCTGAAGAATTGAAACTACTGTCCGAGCAATTTACTGATCGATTTTCCAATATTTTTGCAAAGTATAATGTGGGAGATGTTCCGCTTCACCTACAACTGGAGTTGATCGAGCTTCAAGAAGACTCATATTTAAAATCTAAATTTGATGATGTGGAACTAAGCTGAGAGTTTTCGCACGAAAAATAATTTGAAAGGACGTATAAATGTGAGCAGCTTTTTTTTTCAATTATGAAAATTAATAAAAATAAGCATCGTACTCGGCTTACAGATGTTAATTTAGAAAACACAGCGTCTATGTACTAGTGATATTGACCCCAATATTGATCATCTTGTTTATCAGCTTCATACTAAAGTCTCTCATTAATTTTAATTTGATTTTCCTATCTTTTTTTATTAACTTGCTTTTTTATGTTTGATTGAGTATAATCATTATGCATTATAATTAATAAATAAAATGTGTGATTTTTTGTCGTTTTTTTATTCACTTCTACCTACTTATTTCTTGCCCGCGACCTAATTAAGTCCAAAAATTACGCCCTCAGCTAAGCAAAGGTTTCCCATACCTGGTTTAGAATATAGCGATGTTAACACATAATGAAAAATAGCAAATATAAGGTTTTGTTTAATGTATAAAAAAAAAATTAAAATGAAACACGTGCCAGTGTATTAGAAACAAAAAACAAATAAAAATACAAATTATAATTGTAAATTAAATTTGTCGCAAATAAGTACTAGATGTGAAAAATTAATTACAATTAAACATTTTACATAAGTATGTCGTCTCATTTTATGTTCTTGTTTAATATTCATTTATTTCAAAATGCCACTATCGCGAATGGTAAAACGAGCAAAATGCATATAAGTTATTTTATCTTAACGTTTAATATAACTTTGCAGTTTGTGAAGTGATCCACGAAAAATGTTTTTAAAGTAGGAATTGGAAAAATTAACGAAGATTTTGAAGTGTCAGTATGGATTTAATTTAGAGCAGTGCGTAATTATTACGAACATGACTCGTACTTTTTGTGAATCTTTTTTACAATACGATAAGAAAGAAGAGATTGGCGACATGCATACAAAAAGAAAAAAGATTAATCAGAGAGATCAAAATCCTTGTTGAAGAAGTGAGCTCCAATGCGTATCTATTTCTCGCGGGCACCTTCTCGCTTGTCCGCTTGTCGTATTCTATTGTACAATTATTGTACAACTCTAATATTTTATTAAGTTCGAAATATTATCCATAGTCTCAAATGTGGTAACATTATTAAAAATAATAAAGGAAACTCCATATTCATATTACACAAAAGTTTTTTATTATATATTATATAAGTATTATCAGTAATTGAAAATGTCATCGTTGTTAAAACTTCTGGCTCGAGTTGTTCAGAAAGGCAACTTATATTTCAATATTAGAAAAAGACATGTGTGACATAAGTTGTATGATAACATCAATAGATGGCACCACAAGTACCATTTTTAAGTTTTGGTATATCTTTTAACACTACAAAAACTTAACAAATCAAATATGCTTAATAATTGGCAACACCTGAGTAATACCTAACAATTCTAAAAAAATTAAACATTTTTTTCAGTTGCTAAACATTTTGTCAGCTGGCATTATATTAGTTGGTAAATATTTAAAAACAATCTGTCTATTTATTGGCTATAACTTATCTTATAAAATGATGTCTCATAATATCTATATGATGAGACCTTTTATAATATGTAGATTAGATTGGGAGTTGGACGTTTTTTGGCCGAAAAATTGGGGGTTCACTATGAGAGAATATACAGATTTAGGTAAAAAGTGTTCAGTGTTTTGAAAAAATGTATTATAAAAACTAAAATTTTTTACCTAAATCTGTACTGAGATCTATATTCTATCATTGTGAACCCCAAATATTTTGTTCACAAGCCGCCACTGGTTCTGTTTAAGTAACTCAAAATCCGTTTAGCATATTTCCAATTGTGCTCAGTGTGTGACTTATTAAACTGACTTAAGTAGCTAACACTGTAAGCAATATCAGGCCTAGTAAGCACGGCCAGATACATTAAATTTCCAATTAAATTCTGTTAAGGTACTTCAGTCACACTCTGATCACTTAACTCTAAATTTAATTAACTTTCAAAAAGAGTTTTAGTCACTTTACTATTAATCATATTGAAAATCTTTAAATCGTTAATACACCCCATTTCTTTATTATTATTAACATTCATATCTAAAAATTCTTTTAAATTTCCTCCCAGGTCTTTAATTTTAAATCTTGAATTCAATTCATTTTTCAAAAAAAAATCTGATGTGTCCAACGACTTTCCTATCTAGTTATTATATGCTTTTTCCGGTTATTTTGTACAACCTATTGAAGCACCTCTATAAATGTTTAGAGGATAAACTAAATATATCCATTTTCCACATACATCTACCTCGAAATATTTTTCTATAGATATTAATTGAAAACGAAAATACTGAAAAATTTAAATTTAGCACTTTTCCTACAATTTTTCCATTACGGTCCATTTTAGAAAAATCATGTATAAACAAAAATTATAGAGATCGATATCGCAAACAACTTTTAGTTCAACAATTTTCATAAAAATCAGAATTTTGCACATTTTGTCAAATTTCTCGAATATGGACCATTTTAGGAAATTTTGACATAAAGCAAAAATTATAGATAATAATATTAGAAGTAACTTTTATTTGAACAATTTTCTTCTCCAAACATAAATAACAGATATATTCCATAAAATATAATGTTCCGACTTTGTCCAAAATCTAATCATTTCACATCAGGCCGAAATTAAACTTAAGTTTAAAATTTAATATTTTTTTTTATCCGTTTTTGAGTTTTCTTCAAAATACTAAATTTACACATTTTCTCCAATATGTCGAATACGGTCGATTTTAGAGAAATTATGTATAGGATAAAAATTATAAAGAATTATATTACAAACAACTTTTATTTGAACAATTTTTATAAAAAATTCTTTTTTTACATTTTGTCAAATTTCACAAGATTGCAAACGTAAATATTTTGCTTTTTCTACTATGGTGAGGTTAAACCTTTCTGCCATACCCTTTGTTCAGGGGTGCCAAATAATACTTGTGATAACTTATGTACATTATTTATTGAGTCTTCTGTTCCCACTAAAACATTCTGGGCATTATACATTTTGCAATCCGTTTTATTAAAATTCACTTTATTGATATAACTAATTAACTGACCCATAGATAACAAGTTTGTAGTTAAATCTGGAACATACTGCACATATTTGTCTGGCATTGTTTTCATTTTGAATATGCACATTCAACTAATATTTTGAATATGCACATTCAACTAATTTATTGGCTACCATAATCTGCCAAATTTGGTTTTCTTTTATTGAGCAAACGAATCCTTCTTTGCGGTTAAATAAAAGCTTGCTGTAATTTTTATTTTAAAGGTAGTTTATTTATTTAAAAAAAAAAACAGTTTATTTATTTAAAACAATTTATTTATAATTTATTTACACTAAGTACTAATTTATTTATTTTTTATTTATTTGTTTATTTATTTATTTATTTATTTATTTATTTATTTATTTATTTATTTATTTATTTATTTATTTATTTATTTATTTATTTATTTATTTATTTATTTATGTATTTATTTATTTATTTATTTATTTATTTATTTATTTATTTATTTATTTATTTATTTATTTATTTATTTATTTATTTATTTATTTATTTATTTATTTATTTATTTATTTATTTATTTATTTATTTATTTATTTATACTTAAGCACTATTGTTTTGTTTATATCATTAAAGTTTAACATTTGACTACTTGACATTCTTTTAATACCAATTTTGCCCTCTTTCGACTTTTTTGTGTCCTGCTTAGTTTTGACAGTAAAAGCTCGTCCAGAATTACCACTAGCTCCATCTATGTTCATATCTAGTAACGTCGTTTTAATGGTATCTGTATTTATGATAATTCCAGAATGTTCAACTGACATATTCATGTGTGAAAACTTTTCTGGCAATCCCTCTAAAAGTAATGAACCTACCCTTTCTTCGTCGATCTTGAATCCTGCTCTACGCAGTTTTTGCGAAGTTTCACGACTTGGTTCACATATAATTCCATAGAGTCACAGTATTCTAATCCTAAAGATATCAGGATTCGCAACCCTATCTGTCTCGTAAAACCACCATCTTCATTAAAGTTCTACATATTTTATGTTCACGAATAAAGAATAAAAAAAGCTTAGCTTTTGCCTTTGCTTTCAGAACGGTATCTTACTCGGTACCGGCAATGCACTTGGATAACCCTTCAAGGACAAGAACATTTTCGACGGCAAACAATAAATCGTCATAGTTTTCTCGACCTACTAACTTCGGCACACTAGTTAAGTAATTAGCTGCCATTTTCCCACAATTCGACACTAATATTACTATTTTTTTCGGTTTTTATTTCTGCCCGTGTGCTGGGCAGTCTGGGCCCATAACCTAGTAAAACTACCGGTTCGAGCCGTTCAGAAACTAACTTTTATTTTAATATTAGAAAAAAACACGTGTGAACTAAGTTATATTGTTATATTTCCCAATTTTTGTATTATAAACCTGATAAAGGCTAGTTGGCCGAAACGAGTAGCATCTCCATTTTTTAATAAAAACTTTTATATGATATTAATTTGTAGTTATTTTCCAATAAACTTCAGTTATAAGCGCTGGTCCTTAAATAAATATTATGATATTCTAAATATTTATTCGGCCGCATACTTTTCTCTTATCATTTGTGTAAATAAAATAATCAGAATGTTTACAAGGTAGAGTATACGGCATCTTACCTACAATATCGTTGCAGAAATATACAATAATTTAAAGAGTGTTCGTAATTTAATAAGTTTTATTAAGGCTTATAAGCTCTTCGCTTTCTTTTTGGGGTTTGCTAAAAAGATCATTATAGCAATGCACAGAGAAATTTATGCTCATTTTAAGCAAAAAATAACATTACAAAATGGAAAATTAATTTTTACGAATCGAAATTATCTCATAATATAAAGTTTACCATCCCAATAAAAAACACTGTCCCAACCATAGTAATTCTGCCATACCGTAGAATAATACGTAGCCCAAGTAATGAGTCTGTATTTATATGCACAAAATAAAAATTAAAAGT